AGGGTGGCGACATATGGTGTATTCTATCTACTTTACGTAAAATCATGAATAATGGATTACATTTAAATATTTTATGTCAAACACAATAAAAATAATATTTAAAAAACCCACCTATACATTTCTTCATAAATTGGCAGGCTTGGCGAGTACTACTTCGAATAAAAATAGCGTCCAAGTTGCAAGATTATGTCGCTACCCCCTTAGATATACAAGAATTTCCCACTGGCACCTATTGTTTGACAGGTCGTTGGAATGCCTAATATATAACTTTAGTGTTAATAAAATGTAATATCCTAGTCTCTACTTCACATTTAAATTATTGATAGGGACCGTGCGTCATGACTTTAACGCTAACTGGTGACAAAAATTTGAACTTTATGGGGGATATTTATTAATATTTTATACGGCATTTATTGTTTAATAATTATTAATTAAATAAAGTCGAATTATTTACGTAATATCATTATCGAAAAAACTTGTTGCATCCGTGGATGTACGAACACATTACTTTGGAAACCTGGATTTCATTCGATAGTAAAGAAATTTTATGAATTTCCACAGAGCAGAATTAGTGTCTCACATCCAATGATATACATAATTATATAGATTGCTTATCCATATGTAAATCAGACAACGAAAAACGTATTTCACTGGGCAAAGTTTTTTTTATCTAGCTTGTATCAATTTTGAGCACTTAGTTGTAAAGAAATCATTTACAGAACCAGTTTAGAAATTAGAATCTTTAGTGTTTTCTTGTCATTAAGATTTTTACATTAGCATTTTATATAAATATAAGTTTACAGATAATTAATGGTTTATTCTGTTGATTAAAACTAATGTAGAACGTTACTATGAAATAAGTATGTCCAATTTGACAAAAATATCATAGCCTTCTTTACAATTTATTAACTATTTCTCATTTATTACTAAAATAAACAAATCATAAATAATACATTGCAAGTGCTGTCAGAAGAGATTGCAACAAACTTATTAAATATTAAAAATCCAGTGATTTTTGTAAATTTTTTTAGTGACATTACCATTAAAAATTATTCAGAATAATCCAATTACAACTCTTACCAAAGTTGTTTATATCTCATATCAAAGTTGTTTACATTTTCTTTTCGAAATTGTATTACATATTGCAATTATGTATTATATGTAGTGTTATTTCTGAAATGAGAGTAGTCTAAAGTTATTTATATCTACCTGTTTTAAAATTTGTTTAGATCTCTTAATATTATTTAACTACATGGAAACTCAACTGTCCAAATACATAATAACGTGTCTTGAAGTAAAACTTTAATTATTTTCTTTTTCTAAAGATTAAAATGCTGAAATTTTATATTAAAACACATTTGGGCTAGAACGGCTCTATTTAGTGAGCACTAGGAAAGGTACATTGCAACCCGCTTTTCGTAATTTTTTATAGATGGGTGAGCAATCTATAATATGTATATCACTGGGCGTCTCATAAACGTCAGTGGATAAATGACATTTCGTCTAACATAAAGCTAAAAAGAATTATTATTATTCCCAATCTTTTTTATTAATTTACATTTTTTAAATGTTATTGTAATACTTTTAAATTCAGTGTTACTAAATACCGATATTTTGACATTGGATACACTTGTTTGAGGTACAACTTTACAATTTATTGTCACTTTGTCATTTAAATGTTTTTGCTTAAAATGTATATGCATGTCCAGATTTTAATAATGTTTCACATTTTATATCATTTTGACCATGTACTCGATTGTTTGGTACGGACCGGTATCTATATTTAACTATATTTAATATTTTAAAAAATATCCTTTATTAGTTACTTGCAATGTTTACCCCATTTAATTCTAAAATTAAACACTAGAGAGGGCTAACTTCGGCAGTAGTGCTGCCTCTATATTTCACGCACGGTCCCTATAGGTATTTTAAAGATTTGAGATTATATATCTATTTGCTCCAAGTAAGTATTCCTTAAATATGTATTATTATTTGTATTTATTTTTATCTAATAATATTTATTTAAGTTATTAATAAACATATATGTTTTATTATTTATTGATATATCTTATATTTATTTAATAAAAATATGCAGAACCAACTCTCCACATTAGACCCCTTATAACAAATTAATTCTTCAAATTTGGTATAATCGACCTAAATTATTTTGTAAAATAAAAGTTTCGAACTTACTAGTTCCATACTTTATTTTATAAAATAATTTATGTGGAAATCATTTAAAATTTAATTTGAAACTACTACCCACTCCTAAAAATTACAATTTGAATTTACCGCCATCTGTCAATTGTCATTTTAGTTCCAGCTCCAAACACAAGGTGGCGCTAATTTGGTTTAAAAGTTTAACATTGGCGTGGTGTCTCTAGAAGATACATGCTTTGTGCTAAAAACCGCGTAAACCTCGGAAGCGCTCGGAACTTTGCGAAGTTACTCGGTAAATAGCCGCAAATAGCCGTTATCGCGGGAGCAGCGACCGCAGCGACTTTGAATTTGACTAGAGGGCACAGAGGGAAAAAGAAAAAATCAATAACTAACCCCACTTTACCAGTCTTTTGTCTTTGATCGCTGCGAAAGCTGGTTATTTTTGTGACGATTTTTTATTTATTTATTTAGCGAAAAATATTAAGTATGCAAACTCAAGGTTTTGATAACAAAATGTGTACTTTCTGCAATTTGGAGTTTTCAAATATTCACAACCAGCAAGAGGTTTCCCATGCTAAGAAATCACATATTATTTGCCCATTGTGTTTTGGAAATGAGTTAGTTTGTGTAACTTTTAATAAACTGTTATAGATTTAATGCTGGTATAAATACAAATATGGTACTAGAAAGTTAAAACAATTTTAGTTAACACAAAATCAGCTGAAGCGAAAAACAAATCTAAGAAATTGAAAATTTGGTTGATGGTAAAATGTGGCAAAGGATTCTGAAGGTTTGCTAATTTTAACCAACATATCCACTTCATTTTAATATCTAATATTTTATTATATAATCATTTGTTTTTTATAGATGGAAATACCACATTCATATATTTACCAGAAGAGGATATGATTAAAGCACATCTTACAAAAACAATGTTTGAAGTATAAGAGGTTGTAAGTTTGGGAATTTCAGGTAAAGCCTTCTACAGGTGATAATTTTTACAAAATATTTTATAATGAATTATGTTCGACGGAACGCAGAACTTCATATTGTAGAATATGTAAGGAATGTGTTCATCGCTTTAAAAGTAACTGTATAGAGTGTGCTATAAAAGCTACAGTATGTAAACACGTACATTTCTTATGTTATGTTTTAGGTGACGTTGACAAACTACTATCTGAGGAAATGCTACCAGATATTTAAAGGGGGACATAATGAAGAAATTAAAAACTTCATTAGAGAGAAGAAATCTGAAAATAAATGTTTAACTAAAATAGCTAGAGAAGCAAAGTGAGAGATACAAATTGAAACTCCATTTTTTTAAGATACTTGAATGATGAGGCATATAATAAAGTAATGGAATCATTTTTCCATGTATGCAGCTAAATATTATATGTTGGTACTTTTTAATAAAGTGCACAGCCAAATATAGTTAGTAATGGAACAAGTAATAGATCAGCGATACAGAATAGGTGGAAAGTGGAAATTTTTTTCTTAAAAAAAGAAATTGTAATGGGCTTTTGATGTCTTTTTTCTATGGTGTGGCAATAGTGACAGGGCTTGCTTTTGTACTAAATAAAAACTTATTGTAAATATATATTTATAGTATGGTTTAGGTTTTAATTAGACGTATTTATCATTTATTTATTCTAGGTTTATCTAAATGAAATATATATAAACCTATGTATGTATAGCTTGTCTTTTATTTTTGATAAACTTTCTAAAAAACCCCTCAATTACATCAAAAATGGAACATGCTGATAATTATTGTTTTGTTTTTTTTTGTAGAAAAAATTTTTGCGAATAAGTTTCTTAAAATTTCTTCTTATGGGTTGTGATCGAAATTGCAGATTTAATGAAAAGTGTAAATAAAGGATTTTATTTAATGAAATATCATTTTATAACTGATTCAACGCATATTTTCTGGCCAAACTGTACTATCAATTACAACTATTGTAACCAACATTTGAACCAGTTTATCAACAAATTGTTTGTATGGTCCTCTCAGTACACATAGTACACAGTTAATATAACGTTTTTTAATGAAAAGTATCTAAATTACACAAAAACATTAAGAAATTGTTTTCATGTAAATAAGTAATAAGTAAACAAAGTAATATAACCAAACGGTCGTTGAAATTTGAGGTTAGGTTCTATTTTTTTGACGTGAAATCTGTAAATAGCAAACATTTAAAATTTCCGCTAGTCTATCTACCGACCGTCTCCGCAAAGTGCCGAGCGCTTCCGAGGTTTCCGCGGTTTTTAGTGTCGCCTCGATTAGTGACAGTTTAACACGCTTAAATGTCATTTAAAAGCACCCTAAAATTTGTCCCGCTCCAGCCCCTGACTGACCGAACCAATGAACTGGAGTGGGGTAGAAAGCTAATGTGCATATTGTATCAATTGAACAAGATGCGACTCTATGGGCGCAGCCATTTTTATTTCTCATCTCACTCGGGAGTATTTATAATAACCATTTTCTGTTTCACATTGTTATTGTTCAATCCACAGGCTGGTGGATCAGACAATAACAAACTGAAATAGAAAATGGTCGTTATAAATACTCCCGAGTGAGACGAAAAATAACCTGTCTTCGCCCATAGAGTCGCACATCAAGTCTATTGACAAGCATTCTACCCCACTCCAGTTCATTGGACCGAACTCGCCTAAACATGACAGAACGACAGAACATAAAGAGAAGGGGGCTATGGTGGCGACATCTCACCATTGCCTTGAGTGATTTGTAAAAGAGATAGTCATATCCACAAATATTAAGAGAAAGGGAGAAAACGATATACACTGCATGAACGATCCACAGAACCGATTTTAATGAAGTTACACGTCTCGGGCTAGTCAGGCTAGTGTTCTGTGATGGTCAGTTTTAGTTTTTCTATAGATGGTCACGTCATCACTTATCAAGAAATGTTTTTAGCTTTTAATTTAAAATAAAATGGAAAAAGAGACAAAATTTAATCAACCTGCAAACTCACAAAATAAAAGTGAAAAAACTGATGTACAATCAAAGAAACAAAAAGTCCAAATTGTGGACAACTGCATATTCTTTGTACATAGAAAAAAGCGATTTTGTAAAATGACTGTTAAAAAAGGAGAACAATATTGTGGAGAACATAAGAGAATTAGCACAAATGTTGGAGAAGAAATTGGTATTAGTACTAATGAGGGCCCTTGTCGAATTGTTTGTCCTTTAGATGGAAAACACACATGTTATGCCCATAAATTAACAAGACACCTAAAAATATGTAATGCTAGGCCTAAACCTGCAGAACCATTTATTGTAAAAGGTTTCAATACTGATACTTTAGCTGCACAGGAAGATAACCTTTACAGACTTTTGTCTACATTTTCTGCAGAAAATATAGCAATCACTATTTCTAAAGTTAACTTTATTTATCACAAATTAATTCACCAAAACCTTTCTGAGAAATATGCAACAAGCAAGTTATTAGGTAATTCAATATGTCTGTAGAATGTAAAGTGACCATTTAAAAAAAAATAATTTTAATTACATATGTATTATCTGTCAAATATTTATAATTCAGCTCCACCATACCATTAAAGCCAGCTACGGACGATAAGCGATAATATATATTATAGCTCGGCAATGAGCTATAATTTTATATTATATTATTACTACAGTGGATGAGAATATATATATATATATTTTATTTATCAATATAGTAGGCTGATCCAGTGAATTATATAGTGTTAAAATGGCGATGGAGTAAAATTTGTTATTGCTAGATATCATTGATATCTCATCAGAAGATGAATCAGATCCTGAAAGCGATAATATATTATTAACAATTAGGGTTAGTAACCAAAAAGAAACATCAAGATTCTGGTTATCTAATCATATCAAATACCGTAAAGAACGAGGAGAATTTACACTTTTTAACGAATTAAGTGACGAATAATTTACAAATTATTTTTGAATGGACTGAACTAAATTTTATGATTTAATAAAAAATTATATAGAAAAGCAAATCACAAATACGCGGAAAAGCATTAGTTCCTTAGAGCAATTGGCAGTTCTTACTTTAAGGTATAGTCTGTTGTATGTATATAGATAGATTATACTTAGTTATAGGAAAGTGACTTTTTCTAAAAAACTAAAGAGTTTAGAAAAAAAATATATTAAAACAAAAATTACAAATCTGTGTAGAAATAGCAACTAATTTTACAAACCTACAAAATCTATTTATCAAATCACGTTCAAAACAAACATGTAAACAATGCCGGTTTGCTCTCTTGGCCGACAGCGCGACACAAGAGGGGTGAAATATATATTATATTATCGTCCGTAGCCGGCTTAATGGTTATTAACATCAAATCTTAATAGTCTACCCCAGGGACGCTGAATCTTTATAAATCTATGTGCCATTTTTTCCAAAGAAATAAGTCGTTAATGAAAACAAATGTAACTGAATAATACTGAATACTTACATTAATAAACATTTTATACAGCACTCGTAACATTACCAATTTTCTGTTTATTTGAGAGAAAACAAATTAGTGTGATTTCTGCTGTTGCAAATTATATGCCAAATAATTTATATGAAGTTTATACTTTGTTATTTTTAGCAGAATGGGTCATCAGAAAAAACTGCTTCTAAGCGAGTCTTTTATGTTAATTAATTTCTAAAAATAAGTCTAATAGGTAGATGAAAATATTTTCAATGGAGCAAATACCAGCTTCTTCAGAAGGCTATGTGTCTAGAATTGAATTCCATGTTTCCATAATTTTAGTAATTGTGTGCCCAATGACGAAAAACTACTAGACTAATCATTCATTCATAAGCCCTTTTTTATTATTGCAATCATTCAGATTGTGTTTATTATTAAGCAGAGAGAGCTTTCGCATTGGCTGCTGTATTAGAAAGAAGGAGATAGCTGCTAATTTGAGTGGGGATGGTATGTGAGTACATTTATTTGAGGAGCGAGCATGCGTTTTTTGAATGAATCCATATTTACGTTTACTATGCTTGCTTTACACTGATGTCATACTTCAAAATGAATTTCTTACTTTCCTAATAAACACTATACAACTATAATAGTTGCAACTAGAAAAATATATTAAACTGATAATAACTGACATTATGAATGCAAATATACCTTCCTAATGTAATTTTGAAAGCCTTTTGTGCACTTTGGAGCCTTACGTTTAGTCAATACCGAATTATAAACAAACAATCCTTGTAAAAATACTCTTCCAATTCGATTTTTGTAAATAATATTAGTCAAGCAGTTTTTCGTCGTTGGGTGTGCCCAAATTATTTTGTTGCGGGCCATTGGTTCGCCATCCCTGGTCTACTTCAAAAGTATTTTTCAGCTTCTTAGTCACTTTTCACTTTATGACGAGATTTACACATTTAATATAGCACTATTTTAACAAGCAAAAATTGTACAAAAAGTATACAAACTCATAAATATACCCAACTTTCTATTAAATAGAACTTCACTTAAATTACCCACGCTATAATATTTATTAAGTGTAGAAAGAAATTAATTTCATTAATTATTTTTAGAGGATGAAATGTTAAATCCTGACTATGGAGCTAAAACAAAGAAACATTTAAAACAGATATCTTCTATATTGGGACTAATGGAGGAATATAATCTAATGCTGCCGGAAACTTGCTACATTGAATTTGGTGCTGGAAAAGGTCAACTAAGTTTTTGGCTTTCTAAAATAATAGACAATCAAAAATCTAAAATTATTCTTATTGAGCGGGCATCTCCGAAACACAAAAAGGATAATAAGTTAGCTAAAACATCTAATAAAGTATACAGAATAAGAGCTGATATTTCCGATGTAGTTTTGGGTTAGTATTAGGTACTCAGATTACCTATATTGAATTACAATGGGCAATTCTCCTATCACAATAACTATAATGGGTGTTCCAACAAGAGTTACTGAATGTTAATAATAAATAAAAAATTAAAAGACGATTGGTTAGCTTCAGCTGTGTGAGCTGAAGTCAACCATGATGTCATTATGCTGAGGCCTAATTGTATATAAGTCCTTTATTTAGCAGTTTGCTAATGCATCCAATAACAAAATACATAATCCTACTAATATATAAATGCGAAAGTATGGATGCTTGTTGCTCAATCATGCAAGAACGGCCAAACGGATCTGGATGAAATTTGGCACAAAGATAGATTATAGTCTGGAATAGCATATAGCCTTTTTATCCCGGAAAAATATACGGTTCCTGTGGGATCGATTTGTTTTTAACAGACATGATTTTTTTGCATAGTGGTAGTGAAACATGAAAATTTGAAATAAAGCTACTGAGCATAAATAAATAATGACCTGTTTCAGGATTTTTGGATTTTCACATTTTAAAGGGGGGAAACGGGGGTTAAAAGTTTGTATGGAAGTATTGATTTTTTAAAGGCTGGACTTGAAAATTGGAATTATAGCTACTCATCACAAATAAATAATGGCGAGTTTCAGGGATTTTAGATTTTCATATTTTAAGGGGAAAGGGGAAAAATCGCGGGAAATAGAGGTAAAGGAGTAAGGGGGAAAGTTTGTATGTGTGTATCGCTTTTTTAAAGGTAGGAAATTGAAAATTTGAATTGAAGCAACTTATAAATAAATAGACATTAAAGGGGGAAACGGGGGGTGACAGTTTGTATGAGACTTTCGGTTTTTTAAAGGAAAAATTGTAATAGTAATAGTAAATAATGACATATTTCAAGGTTTTTGGATTTTCACATTTTAAGAAAGGGGAAAATGGGGAGTATCGTAAAACTAAATAATAAAAAAGATAAAAAATGATTAAAAATAGATATAAAAAAATAAAAATTATTAAATTATAAAAATTGTTAAATTAATAAAAATTACTAAAAATAATAAAAATTAATAATCATTCATTTTTTTAAATTATAAACACATTACCACGCGTGCAAAGCCGCGGGCAAAAGCTAGTATAAAAATATTTTTTAATATAACTACGTGTGTTACACTTTTGTTTGGAAAGTAAAAATATATATTTGTTAAATAGAACTGTATTTTATCTCAGTTTTAGAATTGTAAGGTAATATTGTATTGAATCTAGAATATTTTTAAAAATCTGATGTGTCCAACACATGACTTTCCTATCTAGTTATATAAATGTTTAGAGGATAAACTAAATATATTTATTGTCCACATACATCTACCTCGAAACATTTTTCTATAGATATTCATGGAAAACGAAAATAATGAAAAATTTTAAATTTCCTACAATTTTTTCATTACGGTCCATTTTAGAAAAATCATGTATAAACAAAAATTATAGAGATCGATATCGCAAACAACTTTTATTTCAAAAACTTTCATAATGAAAATCAGAATTTTGCACATTTTGTCAAATTTCTCGAATACGGACCATTTCAGGAAATTTTTACATAAAACAAAAATTACAGATAATAATATTAGAAGTAACTTTTATTTGAACAATTTTCCTCTCCAAACATAAATAACAGATATATTCCATAAAATATAAAAACGGCCTCCCATAAAGTACCCCCCCAGATGTTCCGACTTTGTCCAAAATCTAATCATTTCACGTCAAGCCGAAATAAACCTTAAGTTTAAAATTTAATGTTTTTTTCTTTATCCGTTTTTGAGTTTTTTTTCAAAATTCGAAATTTACACATTTTCTCAAATATCTCGAATACGGTCCATTTTAGAGAAATTATGTAGAGAATAAAAATTATAGAGAATTATATTATAAACAACTTTTATTTGAACAATTTTTATAAAAAAATATTTTTTTTACATTTTGTCAAATTTCTCGAATACGGACCATTTTAGGAAAATTTTGTATAGAACAAAAATTATAGATAATAATATTAGAAGTAACTTTTATTTAAAGAATTTTCTTCTCCAAACGTAAATAACAGATATATTCCATAAAATATAAAAATGACCACCTATAAAGTACCCCCCCAAATGTTCCGACTCTGCCTAAAATCTAATCAGCTCATTAGACGCTGAAACAAAGCTTAAGTTTAAAATTTGGTGTTTTTCTGTGTATCGGTTCATGAGTTATGCGTTATACAGACACACACACACACACACAGATACACACACACACACACAGATACACACACACACACACACACACACACACACACACACACACACACACACACACACACACACACACACACACACACACACACACACACACACACACACACACACACACACACACACACACACACACACACACACACACACACACACACACACACACACACACACACACACACACACACACACACACACACACACACACACACACACACACACACACACACACACACACACACACACACACACACACACACACACACACACACACACACACACACACACACACACACACACACACACACACACACACACACACACACACACACACACACACACACACACACACACACACACACACACACACACACACACACACACACACACACACACACACACACACACACACACACACACACACACACACACACACACACACACACACACACACACACACACACACACACACACACACACACACACACACACACACACACACACACACACACACACACACACACACACACACACACACACACACACACACACACACACACACACACACACACACACACACACACACACACACACACACACACACACACACACACACACACACACACACACACACACACACACACACACACACACACACACACACACACACACACACACACACACACACACACACACACACACACACACACACACACACACACACACACACACACACACACACACACACACACACACACACACACACACACACACACACACACACACACACACACACACACACACACACACACACACACACACACACACACACACACACACACACACACACACACACACACACACACACACACACACACACACACACACACACACACACACACACACACACACACACACACACACACACACACACACACACACACACACACACACACACACACACACACACACACACACACACACACACACACACACACACACACACACACACACACACACACACACACACACACACACACACACACACACACACACACACACACACACACACACACACACACACACACACACACACACACACACACACACACACACACACACACACACACACACACACACACACACACACACAGACATCATCGCGAAAATAGTCAAAACGGATTCAGGGGACCTCAAAACGTAAAAATCCGTCGAAAACTCGAGGTCGAAAAAAATCATGATTCCTATACTTTCCTTATATCTGTATACAGATAGGAAAGTAAAAAGTATTACAGATAGCAATTATTTTTTTTTGTGATATAGAATGATACAGACACTAAATAAAATTATCAGAGTTTAAGTAGCTTATCAATGATTTGAACATTATTTAAAATACAGGCTTATAAAATAACCAAATTAACGAATAGACATGATAGAACTAGTTTATTTTATACAGAGGACTTTGAAACATCTCATAAATATGGCTCATTTTAAGTTCAGTTTACTCAATTTTTACGAATATAATTTTAGCAATAAATTCACATTTTACCTATCTAATGATACCTTCATGTTAGCATATTATCAGTGCGAAATTGATCAATAGCCGTTTTAATATTGAAGATACGAAGACATTTGTAATACAAAAGTTGTTCGACTATATTTTACAATTCTTAAATGTACAGGGAAGTACATAAATGAGGGGTTGACCAAAACTGTTTTAAACCAAACACCGTGTATAACAAATTTGTTTTCACATGGTCAAACAATATTAATAGACTTAACGTTTTTAGAAATGTTTTGCCTTTTCATTCATTTGCTATGTTGTATATAAGGTGTGTCAGAACGCAAGTTTAGGATTTTCTCATTTTTTTTATGTTTCACCACGAATTTAAATAACTAATAATTTAGTTTCTTTACTTTTTATTTTATTTGGTATTCTTTACACCTAAACTGATTTTGTAATTTTATTTATTGTTTCACATATAACTGTAATGTCGAAGGAATAGAAACATTCATTAATTCTGACAAATGGATTACCAAAAATTACATTAGCATTTTACCCTATTTTCAAAAGCCAATTAGAAAAATGAAAAAATTATGTAAATTTTCATGATAAAACCGCATCAAAATCATGAAAAAAAAAATATGGGGATAGAATGCCAAACAAAATGAAAAAAGTAAAGAAATGAATTTCTAAATTGGTGGTATAACACCCAGGATATTGTATTTGAAAAAATTGAAAATATCGTAACGTCGAGTTTAGACAATAATGAAAATGCAAAACATTTTTAGAACGTTAAGTCTATTAAAATTATAAAACGATGTGAAAACAACCAAATCGGTGAGGCTTAACTACATACAGGGTGTTTGGTTTAAAAAAATATATGTTTGGTTCTGCCCTCATTTATAGACTATCATGTATATTTAATAATAATTGTAAAATAAGGTTGTAAAACTTTTATATCAAACATTTCTTCATAACTCCAATAATAAAACAGCTATCGATCAATTACGCCTGATGGGGCACCCTGTATATGTATAATTAAAATACTGTATAAAATGAACTAGTTCTTTCATCACAGCTTGATCCTTATAAATAAGTCTTTATTTTAAACAATTTTAAAATCATTTGCCTACATAGTTTATGATTATCATGCCACTCTAAAACTGAAATAAAACATAGTTTTACTTTCCAGGCAAAAGCGTAACACCATGTATATCCAAACATATTTTTAAATCACGTTTCTCAAATCCAGATAACTTTTATTCAAAACATGTATAACACAAATTGAAATATCAAGCAATTACGCACTAATAGGACAGCCTGTATGGAACTACGACGAAGATTTTACATTTTTTTCATCCTTTCAGGCATTATTTTGAACTAATCTTGATTGTTTCTGACACTTCAGCTTCATTGGCTAATTGTATCATTATTTGGATACCCTACTTCTTCCAATTCATTCATTCCACTTCTTAGATGGGCTCTCGAGAACTTATAATCTCGGGTCACCCATACAAGAAATGCTTACCTACGGTGATCGATAAATGAATATATAGGTACACCATAACTCAGCAGCTTAGTAATATACTTCTTTGGCATCAGTACTTGACATCTTATAGAGGTCTTTATTAACTTATATTAACATTATAGCTATTCTCCAGAATAAATATTTTATATTTCGATTGTGTATGGCCCATGACGTTAATGAACGTCCATACTTCTAAATGTTCGCATACAGACGGGCCAGAGCGTGTAGTTGGCATTAAAGCGAAAGTGTTAATATCTAGATTTAGCATTTTAACATATTGATAACAGTCTCTTCAAGTTCTTGTGCACCATGCCCAGTGTTTTCATAAAAGCCGACGAATATCTTTCCACAGGAAATCCTTAATTATTACAATATCTTAAATTCAGAGTCAATTGGTCCTGCTGTGTTACACTAGGTGTCGAGTCTACGCTTATCGAATAGTATTTATTTGCCTTGATTTGTGTTACAATTTCATCAGTAATACGGTTTGACAAAATATTCAGTAATTAATTAATTAATTAAATTTGCAGTTTGATTTATATGATCTTTTAAAAATGGATCATATTCAGATATTAGCTTCAACAATCTCAAGTAATTTCCATTGTTTTTCGCCAATTCGTTCATGCGTATTATCTATCTTTAAATGCTAACTCTCTTGTAGCCAGAAACTTTATGGCGCTTATAATCCTTTGTTATACTTTCATCCAATGTTCCTTTTTAGTGCTAATTTGTTTTTGAAGTTGTATATCAACTCTTCCTATATATTTGCAGGTGATCTAAATGATGATTAGACCTCCCATGTTCGTCTAATCTTTTTTACTTTTATTCCATTACGAAAATCCTGTTTTAATTTTTGTTCTGTTTTTGCCAAATAAGCAACAATAGAAACAATATATATTTCCAGTGCTCTCTGAATAAATTGCCCAATCATGGCGAACCGTTTCTCGCTAGACAGTACTCGAGGAAATTGTACTTACTTTATATTTTAGAGTATTCAGTCCTCTTTATTCCTTCAGCTGAGGAGTAACGAGTACGAGTACCGACGCGGGCATATAATAATGATTCCACCTTGGAAAGGTTAAACAATTCCAATATACTAGAGCTTTTAGGGTTATGTCTCCTTTGGCTTCCCACAAAAATTTCAAAAGAATAACTAAAAATAATACCAATCGATAAATATTGAATTTGAAACAAAAAATCTTATGATCCGTATTTATAAACAGATTTCAGCTGAGTCGGACTTGGCTGAGTCGCCCATGAACGAAAATCGAATTTCGGTTATATCGCGTGAATTTAGAGATGGGTAGTAACAAATACGTACATGTTAGTTATGTATTTGCTACTGTCCATCGCTAAATTTCTGTGCAACACCGGAACCACCTTGAACTCTAGAGAAGTTATAACTGAACTTCGATTTTCGTTCAAAGATGACTGGGCCAAGACCGACTCAGCTGAGATCTGTTTATAAATACGGGCCTATCTTCCGCTTTGCTTCTTTTTTCTTGCTCCCTGTTCTTCTGCTTTTTGCTTTAACTCCTGTTCTGCCTGGTGTCCTCTTGCCGTTTTCCTCTACTTTCTTCTCTTACTCTTCCTTCTGACGAACTCTCCTTCCTATTCCTTCACACTTTCTTTTGATTATTCTCTGTCTCTGCCCCTACCTTATATTACATTAACATTAAAATGAAAAGTTGGGCGTACACGTGAATGGAAAATATAACAAATAAGATGAACAACTGTGAACAAGAATTTTTTTTATTATTATAGATGATACCTATTTATTTTTTCTGACCGTTATCAAAATAGTACAAAATAAATTGAGGAAAGAATATCGGATAGCTAGGACGTTATGATAAATAAAATGTATTTAAAATAAATAAACGCCAATAGTGGTATATTTTTTATTTTTCTTATTTTTTCAAAACAAAAAAGATAACTTTTATCAGTCGTGAAATACAAAGTTGGGCACTTAACGACCTGATCCATGAAGGTTTATGTCAAAATTATCTAATCAAATATGTGACATAATATAGTCTTCTCACTGATGGAAAATTTTGAGTAATTTAAATAACACTTGCAAATCTATCTTTATCGCTCTAATATGGGTATAGTTAAAATAAACCGTTAAAAACAAAAATACAGTTCATTTAAAAGTTACAACATACACTCTTATCTCTCTCCGTACTAATATGGTAAACTCTCGCCACGTTCTTAATAACCAGTCACAAGACAGCATTCAAACAAGCCGTTCCTCAGACCAATCAGAACAGTAGCACAAAAGTATTAACACTCGACTAACAAACAGAGACTTATTTCAACCTCCATCAGAGTAACATCTTTTGTATGTACATGTCGTTTCTATTCATTATGAAACACACGTAAAATTATGTAAATATGTGATCCAAGGCAAAGTTTATATAGTGTTAAAAATAAACAAGTTAGCAGAAGTAATTATTTAATTTCAACATTTCAAATCAGTATCAAGTAGTGAACCAATAAAATCATACATTCTACAAGTTATACAAATTTACAGTTCATCTTGCTTCCAGCTGACAGGAAGGAAACCTTATGTGGGTGACGAAAAAGAAATCAACGTCAGCACATAACATAATCCAATATTAATCAATTATAATAAATAAATGACGCCATTTCAGTTATTGATGTTAGTATTCTGTGGTATTAGCATTACTTTGCCATATATCAAACTAGAAACGTTTTAAAATAAAAATGGAAAATTCCCCATTGTAAAAGAAATACTATTAAACGAAAGTACAAATAAATTATTATTTTTTCAGACAATTTGGAGGTTATAAGTAAACATAATATAGTAGGAGTAACAAAACATTTATGTGGTGAAGCAACAGACTTGGCTATAAGATGTTTAAGCAACATTCATGAGAATAAAGTTTCTGGTTGCGTCTTAACTTTTTGCTGTCATCACAGATGTAGGTAAGAAAAAAACTCGTTGGAGACGAGATTTCCATTGTCTAGATTTAAAGGAACAGATAATTTTCGTAGTCATGTACCGTGTAAAACTTCCGAGCGCGACCGACATCGACCGATCTGACGGCCCGAACACTTGAATTGAGGGCTACACAATTTTTGTTTGTAGCCAGCCAGCAACGTCAGTGTAGGTCACAGGTTACTAAAAATATATTTAACTCCAGGGACGCCTGCCAGATTGGAACAATCTAATCAAAAAAAGCATTATGAAAGCCTTGCACCACTTAATGACAAGCCGGCACTGATTTCTTATAAGTTTATGATAAAATTGGTAATTTTTCTAAATTAGGTTCTGTTAAATTTGTTAGTTTATTTGAAATACGATTTATTCAGATTCATAGATACAGTCTGTTCGCTATACTTACGCGGGTTTCGGATTAACAAAATTATGCAAATTAGTCATTGACAACCAGTTCCAATAAGCCTCTTCCCAAGAAATTAGGTAAAATTGCCCTAATGGTCAGATTTAAATTAAAATAACATCAGGGTAGGTACTAAATTTGTTACAAATATTGCAGTTGAATTGATTCTTTGCAAGTGTTGACATTGTTATGTATATTGTAAATTTAGTGGAAATTTTAAAAATGCCTAGACGTTTGTTAGATGTAGATAGTCTAATTTGTAGTGTACATAAGTATTTTACGGATGAAAAAGAAAATGGCGGTCCTTTAAAATCGGTAATGTCTGTACAACAACACGTATGCGATGCTCTAGGAATTAGTGAAACCAAATTAAGAGGAGTATTACAAAATCACAATAGTGAACTGCCGAAAGAAGATCACCGCAAAACTCGCCCATCATTGAAAACGAAAGATATTCCAGATGGAAAGAAATTTGAAATTCGTGATACCATTTATCGAAAGAGGGCCTACAAGGAACATGTGACTTAAATACAATTCTCTCGGAATTAATAGATAGAAAATTTGACGACATTGGCAGAACAAGTCTATGGCAAGTGATTGTTATCGCAAAGGTCTTCACCGACAAAGAAACGCAGTTTTCAAGAATCTACGGAATCCAAACTCTTTGAATGCACTCCTCTGGTTACCAAAAAAAATGTATTCTGCCTGTTTTTTAATATCCTGACAAACATGTCAAACGAAACATCTCCTGGACATTTTTTATAGCCCAGGACTTTTTTCTAAATTACGACAACACTCCCCCCTCCGAGAGTGCATTTATTGAGTTTGTTTTCGCTTCTTTATTAAAGGATGTTACAAAAATAAATTACATTTTTCAAGAATTAAATCGTTGAATACAAAGCAACACATGTGACAATGGAAAAAAAAAACATTATTGAAACAATATGAAACATCAGTACTTAACATTAATACAAAATCTTATTTAATCGTACATCTTTACGCGAATTGAATCCCTATTAAAAAATTTAGAATTAATAATATTTACATTGGAGCCTGTGTCTAAAAGAGCCTTGACCTTGTTTAAGCCTAAATGAATAACAATTTTAGGTAGGTTAGTTTTAATTTGATTTATTTGTGTAGTCATAAATGCTGAATTGACGCAGGCCCCATGCTTAATTAGTTTTTTGGAAAAGGAAGAGCAGCGGCTTCATCCTGCCAACTCGTACTACTATGAGCATTTGGCAACACCCCAGTATTATGAATTTTTGGTATAGCTCCTGTATTTCGTGTTTTTTGTTGCTGGTCGTCTTCCTTTTTTAAATTGTATGGGTTTTGTGAGCATTCACTGTGGAAGTGCCATTTATTGCAATAGCGACATCTAGAAGGAGGGACGCTTCCCTGGCTTCGATTAAAGTTACTTTTTCCGTTGCCATAAGTTTGATTATACTTTTTTTTATCTGACTCATAACTTATTGAAGTTGAAACTTCCAGTAAATCTCTTTCAATAGCTGTTGTTATTACTGTCAGAGACTCGATAGAATCAAAAGTCATTCCTCTTATTCGAGAACGTATTTCAGGTATAAGTTGTTCTATGAGTAAATTTAACAACAACTCTTCAGAAGCGTTTGTAAAAAGTCGATGAAACAAGCATCTCTTCCTTGTAATAAAGATATTTACATCCTCATTTAAGGATTGTAGTTCACCGTATAGTTGGGCTTTAAGCTGAGTAAGATAAGCGACTGAATTAAATCGTTCCTTGAAGTTATTTTTAAACATACACCAAGTTAAAGGAATAGATCTGTAAGTTTCAAACCACTGTAATGCTTTATCTTTTAGGAATTTTGCAGCAAATTCAGTTTTTTGATAATCTGATATATCATTTTCACTAAAATATTTTTCTAGTTTATCCAAAAACGAAATCGGATTTTCGATATCATTTCCAGAAAATTGTATTTTGAGTTCATCGGATTTCTTTAAACTTTTAGCAATAGTTTCTATAGCAGTAAGAAAGGCTGATGTTAAGTCTAGATTTTTATTATCTGAGATTGAAAAGGACTTTGAATAGTTGTTGCTGAGTTGATTACAAGGTATGTCATTTAAATTTGAACTAGTAAAATTTGTTAAAGTACTACGAATAACTACACTCTCGCCTGTTTCCTCCAATATTTCATATGAATCATAAAATATTTCATCGTCACTATTTTCCGCCATTTTCAGTTAAATAATTACAGAAAGCGGATTCCTACTTTTCCTATAAAACTGCTCTCTCGGTATAAATTTAAACGACAACTTACTTTGGAGGTTGCTGGTCAATCGTGGGTCGTGAACACACCAATTCACCTTCAATAAATCACGTTGGGCGCCATGTTATCGCAAAGGTCTTCACCGACAAAGAAACGCAGTTTTCAAGAATCTACGGAATCCAAACTCTTTGAATGCACTCCTCTGGTTACCAAAAAAAATGTATTCTGCCTGTTTTTTAATATCCTGACAAACATGTCAAACAAAACATCTCCTGGACATTTTTTATAGCCCAGGACTTTTTTTCTAAATTACGACAACATGATACATAACTTGGGTTTCAAATTTCAAAAGGAGGATAACAGAAAGGCCCTTTGTGAAAGAAGTTCTGCCGTGCACAAGAGAAAGAAAATATTCTAAATTTAAAGAAGAAGGGGCAAATTTTATATATTTAGACGAAACATGGATATTTTCTAGGGGTGCAACCAAGAGAATATGGCAAGATGATAACGTAAAGTCCATCAAACATACCGATGGAAAAGGGAAGCGACACATAATTTTACATGCAGGAGGGAAATCGGGTTTTATAGAATGTACTGATTTAATATTTTCATCTAAATCAAAATCCAGTGACTATCACGATAATATGAACAACGAACTGGTTGCATGAAAAACTTCTCCCAGGTTTAAGTGAGCCCAGCGTAATTATTTTAGACAATGCTCCTTACCATTCTGAAGTATTGAACAAAAGTCCAACGAATTCTTGGACTGTTGATAAAATTAAAGAATGGTTGATAAAGGAACATATACCATTTCCTCAATATATATTAAAATCAGAATTCTACATGGAACAAATTTTTATGTGAGAAAATATTTTATTTGAGCTAAATAACCCTCTTATTATACATAGACCATATTTTCTGTGTGAAGTGTAATATAAAATTATTATTATTAGGTTTATAATAGCCACATTAGACTCCATTAATGAAGAAGTATAATACTGCTCTCAATTATACAAAAGATTCTCCATTATTATTTAATTAAAAAGTTATAAATTATTTTTCATTTCATTTAACCAGTTGATATTTCCCAAAAGAACAGGTCAAACTTTCGGGTACTTAATTGGAAATACTCATAAAATTTTGAATCCGAAACCCCGAAAGTATAGCGAACAGACTATAAAAAATTCGCTTCCTTAGATGAAATATCCATTATTACTTCATCATTCGAAATACTTCATTTTAGCTTGATATGGCTAAACTCAATATTAAAATTTATTTCAGGATCAGCTTAACTTTTAATGATAAATATTTAAAAGAAACTATGTAAAATAAACACAAAAGATGAGAACTAAACATCACTTATCCTTCAGTTTATCAGATTTAAACAGCTCTGTAAATTTGAAGTGTTTTCTAATTTTTTTTTCACCAGGTGGGTCCCATACACTGGAAAAGAATTTTTCTTTGAAAATGGTTTAGATAAAAATGACTTCGATATCATGTGTGGAATGGCTAGTTGGGCGACTTGTGGAACAGGCTTGAGCAGAGAATTAAGAAAAGGAGTACATGGAACAGAATTTAAACAAAATGAAAAAGATATACGGATTGGACTCTCTCGACAAGAAAAAGAAGAAATTGGAATATGGAGTAAACATATTCTTAATTGGGGACGGTTATATTATTTAGAAAAAAATAAATTCAAATGTTATTTACATTTTTATGTTGATAAAGATATAACTCTAGAAAATGTGTGTATCGTTGCAGTTAAATAGATATTTATTTATAGAATTCAAGATATATTTTTTTATATAAAAATAATATGAAATTAACAACGCAAGCGGTCCTAGACTGATACAAGGTGTACAAGTTTTTTAATAGGGTATAGAAGTCCATAAATCAAATTTTTCTAGTCTCTTCTTAAATTCAATAATTAGAAGGATATGACAATTGTTTTAATTAAGGAAAATAATAAATGTATTAATCTTTAATAGTTAAAAGTTAAGACTATCTTTAATTTGACTGAAAATGAAATTTGCAATACTATACAGAGTGAATCCTAAGTTGATATTTTTTTTTAACTTTGTATAGAAGTTAAAATAAACATATTTTTCAAATAACTTTTTTAAAATTCCAATATTACTCGAACGAAATAATTTAATTAATTTAAAAAAATATCTGAAATATATTTTTTTTACTTTTTTGAAAATTTTGAGGCAAAAGTTGTTTATTTGGAAATTATGAAACTATATAATAATATTGCAGTGGGAATTATATGGATTAATGAACTCTGTGTGTAATTTTCTATAATTGTATTGATGGGTATAATTACAGATGAAAGAAAATAATTCTATTTTTAAAAAATCCGATGTATCCAACACATGACTTTCCTGTCTAGTTATTACAGGCTTTTGCCGATTATTTTGTACAACCTATTGTAGCACCTCTGTAAATGTTTAGAGGATAAACTAAATATATACATTTTCCACATACTTCTAATCCGAAACATTTATATATATATATATATATATATATATATATATATATATATATATATATATACTGTATTATGCGTCGTTCCCAAGCCCTGTCAATTATAAGACGACCTCAGACCCACCAGAAATATTAAGAATATAAAAACAAATAATGTCACTTTTGACATATTTTGTCAATGAATTAATCCACATTGAGAGGGGTAAGAAAAAAACAAAATTTAATTATACATTCTGTTCAATAAACGATCACAAGCCATTTCAATTTGCCGCCTTCCCATGCCATCATATACTAGTCCTGTATATTTTACCGACGTTTACATACCCTGCGGCGTTGCCAATACCAATATTCAACAACCGCCCGATTATTTACACAAAATAAAAATGTTTTTTGTGTTATTGTCAAGTAATTAGATCAACGCTGGAGTTGTTTCAGATTTTCGCCCACCTCGACCTACTCAGATATTTTATGCTTAACTATTAATAATTGGTCATGGTACTTTGTCTAGTTTGATCTTTTGTAGTAGACTGAATAAACTAGGTAGTAGCTTTCCGGTGTAGCTATTTTTTCTTCAATAGGGATACTTTCCTGACCGTAGTACCGTAGTATAATTTTAGAAAAATAAAATATGTTTTAGTTTATCTGGTCATAAGTTTTTATTTTGTTTATTTGATAAGCTCAAAATATGTTTTGGAAAACACTTTTTCCCTCTTCTGGTGCAGTTAAATCATTTTTAAAAACATGGGGACAAAAAGAATACTTTTTAAAACAGTTGAAGACTTATCTTTTTGTTATACAGCAGGTGTATTCAAAATATTATAATTTGGTTTAACAAGATAGTATGGAAACAAAAATAAAAACTAAACATGTTTTTGTTTCGCTACTATATCGTGTTAAACCAAATTATAGTATTTCGAATACACCTACATACGCTGTAAAATAAAAAGATGTGACTTCAACTGTTTCAAAATTTCAATTTTTGTTTGTTTTTGTCCACCATGTTCTTAAAATTGTTTGACTGCACTAGAAGATGGAAAAAGTGTTTTCAGAAGCATATGTTGTGACTATAAAATAAAAAATAAATACTTTTGAATATATATAAAAAATATTTTTTCTTGGTTTTGCTTCTACAAGTGTACTTCGCATCCTTCATATATCATGGCAGTAGCCTAATACTGCAGTTGCCTCCTCTTCGTGACACAATCGAAAAAAGGTGTCTTTTGCCAGTGCGATGTTGTACAGATTATGTCTTTTAAAACTTACAATGCCATGTTAATAGGACAAGTATTTTAGTACTTCTCCTATTCTTACTCAATACAGGTTTCGTTAAAAAATTTGCTTAAGAATAAAGTACTTTTATTTTAAACACACCTCGTATACGACGGATAAAATTTAGTATTAGATGTTTGTATTTAAGGTTTGATCATGCACGACTTTTTACGAAAATTAACTTTTTTCCTAATATTATTAATAAAAAAGTTTTCCATATGATTTCAACTTAGGTAGACACACTATACAGTATGTCTGAAAAAGTTGGCAACATATGGGAAACTTTTTAATTGTAAGTTTTACGTAAAAAAGTTATTCTTTATGAAAATCTCTGCTTGCGAAAATAATAATATTCAGGTATTTACATTTGACATTGCAAAAGATTAATAGGAATGTTTTGACAACTTCAATTTCAACTTAAATTTTGCAAATTGTAGTTGTAAAACATGTCAACTTTTATCTTATTTAACAATTCAATACATCTCAAATGTTTATTTGTTGATTTGCAATATTTTAGCAATTAACTTAAATCAGTGATAAATAAGTACTTTACTCTTGTTCAAATTCATATTTTTTGACAAACCTCGTATACGGTTTAAAAAATTGACATCTGACATTTGCGTTTTACTTTACGGGCCATGCAGAATTTTTTATGAAGAATAACTTTTTTTCGTAACATTAAAAAAAAGAAGTTTCTCATATGTTGCCAACTTTTTCAGACATATATATTTAGATATATATTTATTAGCTCTCATAAATTCATAAAACCTGAAAAAGTCAAATGTCAATTTTGTACGCTACTGATTGAGCAATACTTACTGAATTCCATGTTTTTGAGTTATTTAACAAAATAATTCTTGCTTACATATGTATATGTATTTTTTAAAATATCATGAATAGGTAACTTAAACAATAGTGTTTTTCTTTAAAATAATCCAATTAATTATTTTTAAACGAAATACTATACTGATATTGTAACACCAAACATCACACGAATTATAATTAGAAAAACTCTGGCCCTGGCAGAATTCGAACAAACAAAACACCTGAGTCCAAAAAATACCAAACTTATACCGCTAAGATCTTCGCTACCAACACTACACATTATTACGAAAATACGTATTGAATTTAAACCTTCCCATCACGGCTTATTTCTTATATTTGCCGTGATCTCTTTTTTTGAGAAAACTTAATGGCATTTTTTTTCGAGTTATAAACAAAAATTCGTTTTTTCAAATTTTCATTGTAAAGCATTATCTCGCTTATTTATGAAAGTAGAAGAAAATAATTTATACCTTCTTGAGGCATTTTTTTAATAAGAATCCAGTGGCGTAGTTCATTTTTTTTTAATTCTTCAAATTCAAGTTATATCATCAAGTTGTATTTTTTTATATGGAACGGGTAGTTAGCTGTGGCATACAAAAAAAAGAATTTTTTTTTATCATTCTAAGGGTCAGTTTAATCATTTTCATTGTTATTTAGCAAACATTCATTATTTTCAAAATAATCTATAATAATGTTGTTTTCTAGTAGACTTGTGTCATTTAGAATAGGACAAAGTATCTGTTATTGCATGTTATTAAGATACTGAACAACATTTGATTCTTTATGACATCACCACAGTTTATAGCTAAAGAATCAGTTCGCTCACTCTGCGTCGGCATTTTTGATCTCAATGTTCCAGTTTATACACTACGCAACTCGCATACAGAATCAAATCATAACCAATACAATATATGACAACCGCCTATATTCAAACAGCAATCTTCTGCGCATCCTGAATTTGTATCCCTGAAGTGGATATTATTTTGGAACATTCAACTGGTCCAAGTGAGCTAACTGATTCTTTAGAAATACACTGTGACATCACTTTTAAAGAGCAAAATGGTCTATGAAAATAAATAAAAAATGTAATTTGTAAGAATGTTTTATTCAAAGTAATAACAATTGTGAAGTTGCAAGTAAATTATATTTTAATCGTTACCTGGAAAGAAGATACACTAATAATTCTATTTTTAAAAAATTAAAAGAAAATCTCATATATTATGGAACTTTTAACATATCAGGGACAACAAATTATAACAATGACGATGCTGTTATACCAATTACATCATTAAAAAATAAAAAATCATCTTTTCGCAACACATAAACGACATCGTTTGGAAACATTCCGAATTGCGTTATAAATATGGATATTGGAGATGGAATTAACACACTGTATTAAATTTAGGGGCGGTAAAATCTAGGGGCGTTAAATCTGGTGAACGTGGTTGCCACTTTACCGGTCCTTTTGTCCCTATCCATTTGTCTCTAAAATGAAGATTTAACAATTCGGAGAAGTTTCTAGTATTGTGAGAGGATGTCCCATCGTGTTGAAAAAATATATGTCGTCTCTTATTCAGCGTTAAGTCGTCCAAAAAACCATGGAATATATGTTCGTTTAAAATTTCTAAATATCGTTTTCCATTTAGTTTTCCAACATAAATTTGGTAGGCTAAAATTCCATTGCCCAAATAATGCACACCAAGCACTAAAACCGAAACGTCTCTTATTTTGGTCCTCAAAGTTAACGTCGGACCACCAATGTTCGTTATGTCGGCTAAAAATTCCGGCACTGCTTACGTAAGATTCATCTGTCCAACTAATTTTTCTAAAGAATGATACATTCCGATCTATGTTTTCAAGGTACCAATTGCAAAAATTCAGACGTCGTTCTAGATCGGTTGGTTGGAGATGTTGCCGTTTCCTTATTTTAGAGGGTCTGAATTTGTATTTTTTTAAAACTGATAGTGCTCGTTTTCATGATATCTCAGACTCTGCTTCAATTTGATGACTCGGTTTTTTTTTAAGTACCATAATTTATGTGATTTTCTTTTAATCGTTTGAACATAGAATTATTAGGTTGTCTTCTTTCTGGGTAACGATTAAAATTTAATTTACTTACAACTTCAGAATTATTATTACTTTGAATAAAACACTCTAACATGTTGAACTTTTCGTTATTTTCATAGCCCATTTTGCAATTTTAAGATTATACCATAAACAATCATTAAATGATCAGTGTTGTAAAAACGCCGATACTTCTGTCAGAAATATTCTGAATGATACAAGCCTACTACAAAACAACCTAGTATTATACTTAGATTATTTTGAAAATAATGGGTTTTTGCTAAATAACAGTGAAAATGAATAAACTTACGCCACATTTTATATATCGTTAGAATGGGAAAATTGTTGTCTTTTTTTGTATACCACAGCTTACTACCCGTTTCATATATAAAATACATCTT